TTTTACCTTGAGTAAAATTTATGTTTTAGGCAATTAGTAGTAATAAATATAATAAGTTATTCTTATGTAAAATGAAATACTCTATTGCGTACATTGTTTCTTTTCCCTTCTTTTATCCTAAAATAAATAACTAAACTTTTTAAGGTTTACAGTTTTCAAAAAACATAAAGTACAAGATACGTTAACTGATCAAATAAATGTTGACTACAAAACTAATTGATAAATTAGTCACGTCTAACAAAACCTAGTAAATAAGGTAATTAAGAAATGTAAAATAACCAAACAACATATTAAGAAAACTAGTCAATTCCAACATTTAAAATAATATAAATCTATCAATTCATATTAAAAAGTAATCAATTTTAAATAATAATAATAATAATGTATAAATAACTTAATATGATTAATAGTAATTCAAAATAATATATATTAATCAACATAAAATAGTAATTAAACAATTAATATTAATCAAGGACGTAATTGTAATAAAGTGGCAAAAAATCTTATGAAATGCTACTCCATGTAGCATTACAATAATCTTGCTTATTAGCTAGTTTATATACATTTAAAACGTTCATAGTTGTCAAACGTGACCATCATTCTTTATTTATGGTTTTTAACACAAAAGACATAAATGTTGAGAAAACAACTCTTAACTATTTTTGTTGATTGATGTTGATAAAGTCATTGAATAACCCAATTATTACTTATATTTACTTTGATTTTAAATAATAAACAATATTTATAAAAACTTTATGTCACATAGAATTTGCATTACTTGACGAGTGGCCCATGTTTTATGTGTGTCAGTGTCGGTGTGACTATAACACTTTCATAACCACTCTAACTCTCCAACACATAAATGTTACTGTTTTACTTAAAAAAATAATTATTTATTTATTAGATATCTAAAATGTATTTTCAGTAAAGACTAGTAATTAATTTATTTCTTACTAGAGAGATACATCTTGATTTTAATATTTTTTTTTATCTCAGTCGATATTATAGTATGGTCTTATGTGATTTTGAAAAAAACGATGATATTTTTATTTTTAAATAAAATACAAATTTGAAGATATCATATAAATTTGACAAAAATATATCGATGTTAGTATCAAATTAACTATTTAAAATTCATAATTTTTTGTGTAATTTTTTAATTATAATTTAATTTAGGTTCAATGACGAAGTAACTTATATTTTGTTTAACTAGAAGGGTACTCGCGCAATGCAACAAGATAAATCTCCATTTTAATGTTTAGTTTTTATTCTTTGTCTCTATCGATATAATACGATTTTATGTGATTTTAAGAAAGCGATAATGTTTTTATTTTTTAAAGAAATATAAATTTGAAGATAACATAAAAATTTGAAAAAAATAAATCGATATTAGTATCAAATTAACTATTTAGCAGTTCTCATTTTTTTTGGTGTAACTTCTTTAATTCAATTTCTTATTATAATTTAATTTATATTTAATAACAAAGTAATTTATTTTTTGGTTAACAATATAATTTTTTATAAATATCTATACTATATTATAAAACATTTGACAAAAACTCTTAAAAACAATTTTTTATGCATGAAGTACCGTATATTAATGCACATTACTTAAAATTCAAAATTACAAGTAAATTATGCACAAGTACAACTTATTAAAGCTTCATATTTGAATTCGTGTAACTAACTGCGGATAAACATAATCAAATAGAAGATAAACATCTCATTTTAAAATATAAAAAATCTAAAATATAATTAGGATAATTATCGAGTTATAACAAAATAATTAATTATTATCTTTATAGGAAAATTATCTATACTATATTATAAAACATTTGACAAAAACTCTTAAAAACCATTTTTTATGCACGCTTTATTGATGCATATTACTTAAAATTTAAGTTACAAGTAAATTGTGCATAAGTACAACTTATTAAAGCTTCATAATTGAATTAGTGTAACTAACTGCAAATAAACATAATCAAATATTGGATAAACATCTCATTTTAAATATAAAAAATCTAAAAAATAATTAAGATAATCATTAAGTTCTAACAGAATACTTAGGGGCTGTTTACCAAATTTTCCATTAAGTTCTGTATGGATACATTTGTCTGTCTAGATAAATTTGTCTGTCTAGATAAAAATTTATTGTTGTTTACTTTTTTTTTTTCTGAATTAACCGTCTGAAAGATTGAAATGACCGTTTTACCCTTAATACCAAAAATCATCAGATTAATAGATTTATAAAAAAATGAAGAAAAATTAACAATAGGTGATCCAGAAACTTCAACAAACCCATTCGATTTTGATTGTAACCTACAAGAATCCAAAATTTGAAGAAACTTCAAATCAATTTTGGTGATGCAGGGAGTTCAAATAGGTAATCGATTTTAGAGAAGAGGGTTTCATATTTGGGTATTAAGGTTCCGATTTTGGGTTTTTGTTCTTGATGATGCGTCGAAGTCGAGAGAGACGAGGAGAAAAGCAACAATTTTGCAAAGGAGATGTAGGGTTTCAGTTTCAGAAGGAGATGTAGGTTTCAATCTTGGGAAAGAGATGCAAGGTTTCGATCTGGAAGGAGATGAAGGTTTCGATCTGGAAAGAGATGCAGGTCTCGATCTGGAAGAAGATGCAGGTCTCGATCTGGAAGAAGATG